AACCAGTGGGGATTGTGGCTGAGAGAGACAGAGAGTGGAACTCCTCTTAAGAGTGGAACTGCTCATGGACTTACTCATTGACAGACTCACTCACTCTGAGCTCCATTGCTGTGGCAGCAGCTTGAAAAGCATCAGGGACATACGGGGAAGGACTGAGTTGTCTGGCTTCAGGAGAAGGCAGCTTCCTCCCATACAGAAGTGCTGGCAGAATCCCTTGTTTCTTTGTTGATTCCTCCTGCAACCCAGCGTGCATACACAGGTGGCTGCCATATCTGAGTCTCCATCAGCCTGGCTAACACTGGTCATCCCACCCTGATGATTCCGTGAGATCCCACTCTCCCTAATTGTGAGCCCACCCAAGTTGCTTCCATTGGCTTTTCCACACAAACGGCACGTCTTGGCTCATGCTGCAGATTTTCCTAAAATCTCTCAAAGGTTCACAAAACCCAAACAAGCAGCATCTGGCCTCAGCATGCCCTGTACCTCTTGCTTAGCAGCCATGCTGGCACTAGCAGCAGCCAGCCTCAGTTTGTGGCTTGGTCTCTCGGGGTACCTCTAAGCCCAGCATGGTGGTAGCCATCTACAGATTGCTTTATGGCTCATGCCAAGTGGCCCTGGGCAGGGCACAGGCTTTAGCTGAACTTGGCCCCTCCCAAGAGGTCCTGCTTCAGACTGAGTGGAGCACCAGCTGGCCATCTCTGGGAATGCAGCATCAAGACTGGGCAGGCACCAGAGCCCTGCTAAAGCAAATCCTGCTCTGTAGGATCAGACATAGCAGCTCTACTTAATACATAGAAACAAACACAGGGAGGCAACCAAAATAGGGAGACAAAGAAACATGTCCCAAATGAAAGAACAGAACGAAGCTGGGTGGGAATCATTGCTGCAGTGAGGCAGCATAGCTGAGAAGCATCCTATATTCCTCTGCTGTGTTAGGTGGACACAGAGCTAGGATGTTGGGCCTTGTGGATGGAGTACAGAAGTTACCTAGTTAGGAAGACCTTTTCTGCCTTCTGTTCATAGTAGACATCCTTTTCTAATCTAGAACCTTCTGTTTATTCAAAGTGCCCCAAGATAGAATAATGTGGTCCTTTTGATTTCATGAGAATGGTTTCTGAGGCCGATATACCTCTTCATTATAGGCTTATGCTCTTTAATTTATTAACAACTATTTAGTGAGATCTAATGTGACATGAGCTATGCTGGCTTGGCAAAGAAGTTAAAATCAGTGTGTTCACATTTGATTAAAATGTATGCACAGTTTCAAGTGGATATTTTCAAAAATCTAATTTTATGCACAGAATTTAAAATAATGCAAATCACCCCACATTTTAAAAGTCTGTCAAGAGCCACCAAATTTCAAAGCTGGCAAGCTGACTGCATTTTAACAGTGTTTTGCCTGAGAAACAGATGCCCCACACTGCACTGGCAGAACTCTGTTGGAATACCTCTTGTTCCCTTCCACAAGGACTTCTGCAAATGATTTTGATGACCACCGCATGGGCATTTTAGGACTACTTGGGTGTGAAATCTTAACTTTGCCCTGAAGATCTAGAGTTTCAGTCGAAGTTTCAACTTTCATCGGTTTTAGGCCAATCTAGCCACACTGGCTTTGGAAATTTTTTATGTCCCCATATTCACTATGGTTACAACTTAAAATACCTTTACATCTTATAACAGCAATGTAATATCTAACAGGGATTGAACACCAGGAGCTATTCTAATCCCCGCAACTCATTGAGGTATAGTACTATTCTTACCCCACTTTAAGGATGAAAAAGCTAGAAACATAGAAGTTAGATATCTCATCCAAGGTCACTTAGCAACTACATGGGGACCAGGAATCAAAACCAGGCAAGCTGGTGTAGACTTCCCATTCTCCTGCTGCCACAGTCCTCTGAGGCAAGCCTGTCCTAGCATTCTTTCAATTAGACCTAAAGATTCCACCCCAAACCATCAGCTTTGGAAGAAATTAGACCTGGCAAATGATACAAAAAGGCACAACAGCCACCCTGAAATACCCCAAAATGCAATCCCTGTCTTTTGTTACTATTGGAAAATTAGGCTTGCACTGTGTTAATTTCTAATTATGCAACTTCCCTTCATTGAACCTCAGTCCCAACCTCTAGGAGCTTAGTTCGAGTTTAGAGTAGGACCTACCATTTAGTAAGTGGTTACGGTAAGCTGGGACCACAGTGAGCAAGTCGTTATGTACATTCTCCTTCCCCCTCCCACCAGTCCTGCTGGTCGGTATTGGCAGCTCCAGTTGTGTCTTAGAGATGGCAGACGGTTTATTCAAACTCCCTACCCAGGGACTCTCTCCAGCTTAACTCAAGTCTCTTGAGCAGGAAAACGCAACTTTCAGGCTTTCATCTGATGAGGTAAAATTGATATAGTAAAATTGATGATAATAAAAATGATTTTTATATTCAGCATGTAACTGGTGCTGGCAAGGATTCCCCAAAACCTGAGGTTATAGATAAACAGATGCCAGCACTTATATCCCTGAGGACTTGACACCAGGTCGGGATCTGTGACCTAGCAGGTGATTGCAGACCTTTCCCCACTGCCCATGGCATAAAGGGCCTCTGCCCCACTAGATTCTCTTTAGCCTTTCAGAATTCTAGATTTCACCTCCATTCGAACTGATAGTTTAATTTAATAAGGACACAGTTAACAGCATTCAAAAGCCATAAATGAACATAGGGCCAGCCTGAGTTTAAGAGTGCAGCACAAAGCCAGCGCTCCCAACTTTAGTCGTAACCTAAGGGTCATCTTGCTACGTGGACTAACAGAAGTCCCTGGTCTTCAGAGCCCAGAACCATGGGAAGCAGTGGACTCAGGAACCTCAGTGCTGTTCGGGTCTGGCAACCACACCTTAAATTTATTTCCAAATGGAAGCCTCAGCAGCCAAGGCAATTTGCTTCCAAATTTATGGTGTAGAAAATTTTTTTTGCTTGGGAACACAATGGTTTTTTACATACCTTCAACATTTATTTGTGAATCACAGGAATCTGATGAGTATTATTACTCGACACTTCAGTAGCTCCACAACACAAGATTCATTAGTTGTGTCTTTTTAGAGTCTTGTACATTTTGGAAACAATACAAAATTGATTTACCAGAGCATGGATTAGAGATGTGTATATATATATTTTTATTTTAAGTTCATGCTATTTCAGGAAAAACAACTGATTGATGCAGCGATTCTTTTCCAGAATAAAGCCCAGCTTTGGCTCAGGTCTTAATCCCTAGGAGTACAGAGCTTTAACTCTTGGTTTCCCAAGAAAGCCCTCAGTGATGCTGCATAGCTGTGACTGCAGACTTGCTCTGTGAGGCTCCCACCCTGGGTTTCCAAGGCTTGTTTTGTACATACTCCTTGTCCAGCCTGACAACTTCATTAAAGAACATTAACATTTGTAAACATACTGGCTTTTCTAAGAAAATGTGAAGTTTCCGTTCAGAACCTACAGCCTTGTACTGTGGGGCTGAACTACAGGGAGGGAGATAACCTATTTACATACTAAAAAGGTCAATGTTAGACAATCAGCATTTAGAGACAAATTTTCTGTTGCTTGCAACTGGAGCATAAGAATGTGTGAGAAGGCCACAATTTGCTGTCTCTATCTGTGTAGACAGCAGGCTTTGGTAAATATGCACGACATCTGTGCTGAGCAACCAGGGCAGCGATGGACGAGCTCCTTCACAGTTTAGAAGCTCTCTGATTACTATCGGGTATGTGAGTAGGTGACCATGCAAAGTGCAGGTTAGCTTCACCTACTAAAAACAGTAATTAATTTGATGTGGAAATATTTGCATAACAGCTTTTCAGGCTTCTTTGTGAAACAAATCATCATAATAGTCTTTAAATTATGTGACTACTGCTTACTTAAACTGCCATTTGCATTAGGAAAGATTAGACATTTTAGAGGGCTTAAAACGTTTTCTTTTGTGGTCTTTCTCTTCAAAGTCTTTTTAAAATATCAACAACTTTATTTTGTTAATGTGTTGAAAGTATCTTAAAAGATGTTATAAAGGCATGAGTTTTCTCTAAAATCGCTATAGTGTTTCTGCTTCTTACCCATTTGAATTTTCAAAGCAAAATAATAAAGGAATTGAGATCCATGGCTCCACCTAAATGTTGGATATAACATAAAAGTGACATCACTCCTGAAGGTGGAACACTAGTTCAGAAGGGCTGGGGAGAAGTATGCGGTGAAAGGGAAGTCTTCCTCCTCGGTGACAGTGGCCAAGCTTGGACAGGCAGCAGCCGTTGCTCTTCCTGCCATAGAACCACAGCACATTCAGAGCTTTTGCTCCAGAAAGAGAGCACCCATTGAAGAGTGCCTGTGCCAGGGCAGTCATATCTCAGCTGTGGCTGCTTTCCGTAAGTCCCAGTGAGGTCACTGGCGCTTGCTGGGAGCTATAGCGGCAGCTGCCTCCCAGGTTCCCATGGGGATCCTATGCTGCATTCCACGTTTAGTGTCCCCCAGGGGACCTGTGAGGCCAGATGTGGACCTGAGCCTGTTCCTTTGGAGGCGTGTGAAGTGGCTTCCAGGATGAAATCATTCTCTATGTACGTGCACATCCCAGGTGGTTCTATGTGCCCATTCACTTAATAGCTCCATTCAGCGAGGCTCTCTCTGTGCTTCCTCTGACTCCTGATTTAGGGAGAGAGAAGCCAGGACAGTGATAAAATTGCTCTTCTTTGGCATCGAATAGCGTGTCATAAAGATTATTCAAATTCGCTTAGCAAATAGCCACAGTCTTCGGGGCTTTATGTAACAGCCAGTTTTCATAACCATTGTTTTGAAACAGAACAGTGGTATTGGTTGTGCTCGGAGACTCCTAGCAATGATGATGTGTGACCAGAAGACCAAGGTTTCCACTGTGTCTGCACTGTACCTAACCTGACTCTGGACCTCTGTAATGACGGGCTGACCTAGATGATGCTCACTGATTCATAAAATCAGCGCTTCTCTCCCCTGCCTCTCTTTCAGAATACGCCGCTGAGCAGACACAGCACGCTCTGCACCAGTCGGTCTTCATGTCATCCTTGTCGGCCCACCCTTTCCGAGACCTTCCTCTCGGCAGGGAGCAGCACTGCAAGCTGCTTCCAGGTGTAGCTGACATCCAGGCAGGCGAGGTGGCCCGATGGACAGTGGATGAGGTGAGCAGAGCTGCTATGGGGCCCTGGGAAAGAATGCACTCAACTGCTGAAAATCTCTCTTAGGCACTGAATCCAGTGTATCACATTTAAGATCCACATTTGAGGGAAAAGGCAGGCATGGTTTTGAGGAAATTAAGGAAGTCCAGTTATTTTGCCCTCCTCTCCCCATCCCTGTGCTCCATGGCCATTGGTCCTGGGTTCATTTAGGCAGAGGGGCCAAGCCTCTAGTCCCACATCACAGACTGAATTTGAGGAAATACAGATGTATAAACATATCAGCCTTGCATCCCGTCAGCTCCTGTCCTAAGCAGCATCTTCTCTGGGAGGGCGCCTGCCCACAGGGCATTCTGTGTCCTCACGGGCTTTGCCCAATGACCACCTGATCTTGTGTTCTCACTGCAGAACAGCTCTGTGCTGCCCGTTTATTCACCCAAAGTCACAGATGATCTTATGTTTATTTTATGTCAACCTTATGTATATTTTTAAAGTGAATTAGATCACGATATGTACAAGATGCTGTACAGAGGGAAAATAGATCCGATTTTAATATAAACCCGCCTTACGATATTGGTTTCTATTAAGGATCAGGTTAAGTTCCATATTTAAAACAATTTTCTTTTAAGGAAGATGTCTGACTGACATCCCTTTGACAAATGTATCGTTTTCACTAGTCAGGTCTTAATTATTTTTTTAAATGGAGGCAAACTCTGGGTCACTCCAAGGAGTTAAATTAGAAACAGAATGTTCATTGAGTACTTACTGAAGTCAGCTTAACTTCATCTTGATTTAGGCCTTCCTTGCCAGCCTTGGACAAGGAGCAGGTTTTGGGAAGGCCACCGGAGGCTGGAGGTTTGGAGCGAAGCCTGATCCCTCCTCCTTCTCCTGGGCAATTCACAGAATCTGTCTGGCGGACTCCCATGGCCCTGCATGTCTGTGCATGGAGCAGAGGGGCCAACACCTTTTCCCCAGCACACCCTGCATGCCCACCTCTCCTTCCACTCCTTCTGGAGGGCTGCGATGGTCCTAGTTTTAGAGAATTGACTGAATGTGTCAGGAGCTGGCTGGGTGTTTGAGGGAATGACTAAATGTGATCCTGCCCCCTCAAGAGTATGCAGAGTCTGCCCCTCACCCCCTGGTCATAAATTTTTGCCAGTTTATAATGCATGCACCAGCTTCGTGACCAAGCCGACTGAATTAAAACCTATCATATCTATCATCAAATTATGTCTAGTTTTGCCCTTGAAACAACACTGCACATGATAGGGAGTTTGACTGAGAAAACAATGGCAAGTCATTCATTCCTGATTTTCAAGCCATTCATCTGAAGTTCTACCTCTTTTTAAGACTGACAGTGGCTCTTCTTCCTTCACTTGTTGCTGTGCTCTTAGCCCCTCGAATCATCACTCTTCTGCTCTGAAAGATGTCCTAGGGAGAGAAGCCGCCTGGATCCAGCCCTAGCCTTCCGTGTATGTGCAGAGCAACTGTGTCCTGAGAATGAGTAAACACGGTAGAGAAGGGAGAATTCTGGGTGTGTCTCCGCCCAACTTAAAACAATCCCTAGCTTCCCAGTAACATCCTTGTTGTGTCGCCGAGACCCGCATGGACTATCCTTGCCTGACTTTCCAGTCCTACTTTCCACCCCACCCCACGTGGTCCTTCCACCCTGGCTTACAGAATATTGTCCCTCCTCAGTCCCTGCATGTTATCCTCATACTTACACAGTTGCTACCACTGCGTCGAGTACCCCCTCCCATTATGCCTGCTGCTACCCCCAGCCATCAGCTCAGTGCTCACCTCCTGCAGCAGCCTCTGGGCTGGGTCAGACATCCTGTCTCTGCTCCCATTTCATCTGAGCGTCTTCTGTCACTGCGCCTACACTCACATGTCCAACCTGTGACCAGATGACAAAAAACCTTATTTCACTCACTTGGAGTGTATCTTGAGAACCTCTCACTATACCTGGCACATAGGAGATAACACAGTAAATGTTTGTTGAATGACAAGGGCATTGTGAGGTGGATTTTGAAACCAAAGTGGAATATATCTAAGCAGAGAAGAGAAGGGAAGCCATTCCAGTTGTCAATTCGCAAGAGAAGGGAACAACAGGAGGTTGCATGGAAGTGAGTATGACGTATGCAGGGATGGCAGATATACAATGTGTGCTTTATTAATATTAATAATGATGGCAAATAATATTAATATAATGAAAACAAGGTAAGTAGTCTTATTCACCCATTTTACAGATAGGAAAATTGAGGCACCAGAGACTAAGTAACTTTTAAGGCTGCAGAGTGAGATCCAGGTCCTGAGCCCACCACACACACTGTGGACCTGGGCACAGGGAAAAGTGATCTGGGATGGAGATGGGCCAGGTCTGAAGCCAGGCCCTGGCCATGCCTGCTAGTCAGTGGGCAGAATGAGCCATCTTAGATTCTTATGCAGAAAGTCACTTTGTGAAGATGGTGCTTGAAGGAGATGAGAATGGCAAAGATCTGCAGAAAGAGCTGAGTGAGAGGTGGCCGAGGAAGGGGAGACAACCAGAAGCTACCACCATGCTCCTGATGTGGGGTAACTGGGTGCTGGACTGGGTGATGCCATGAGAAGAACCACCCAAATTCAGTAGACATTTTAAAGGCAAAAGCTACAGTACAGGGAAATAGATGAGATAGAGAGATGAGGAAGTGAGTTGAGCCGAATGTGATTCCATGCAGAGTCTCAACACTACACAGTTTAGAACCTATTTAGGATAATAATGTGTGAGAGCTGTGGCCCCAGAGTTCACCTGAAGGAATAGAGAAATAGTGGTGCTGTTGAAAGAAATAAAACTTTGGGGAAAAGATCCAGTTTGGGGGCAGGAGGATAAGGTGATGAATTTAATAAGGGACATTCTGAGTTAGCGATCCCTGTGGATTACATCAGTGGGTATGGAACAACTATTCCAGTCGGCGGAAATACAAGACGGGTGAGCGCTCACCAAGGAGGTGATCATCCAGAGGGAGCTGCAAGGATGGAGGTCAGTGGGCCTAGATTAGAAAGTGCAGGAAGAAGGGGCCGGAAAGAGCACTCTGAAGAGAAGCCAGGTGGGGAGTCCATGAAAGGAAAGTGTGGAGGAGAGGCAGGGGTGTTCGATGTGGCAGGCAGGCAGGCAGGCAGACATCCAGTCAGGGTTCCTGGATGGGGCTGTGGAGTTGGGCTTCCGGGGATCTGGAAAAATTCTGTGCAGCATGTGTGTTTCTGTTTCTTAAGGGGACAGCCAGAGCTTTTATTAACTTCTCAAGGAGGGAGCATCATCTAAAACGAATAGGAAACACTGCTTTAGGAGCATTAAGTAATGAATAGGAGATTTGCTGGGGGCCTCTGATCTGACAGGTTTCAAGTCTGGCACTGAATACAAGTGAGAGATTGGAGGGTGAGTAAATCAAAGTAGCTGGTCCAAAGGTGAGTCTCACTAGCACAGAGAAGATCTCAAAAGGAAGAGACTCACAGTGGGGGAGATGCCATCAGGGATTACGAGGAAGGAGAGATCACTCTCCCTGGATCCCTGTAATGGGCACACATGGAATTCTAGCCTTTATCTCTAGAAGAGCCCTCAGAGATTTTCTAGATTAAAAATCAAACAACAATAAGAGAAGCTGTCTTTATAAAGTGCTCCTGCTTGTAATGCTTCCTTAACTGTGGTTTCCCTCGGGGGTGCATTCCAGAGAAAACAGTTTGGGTTAGTCCCTAATTTTAGTATATCTTAGTTTTGATATCTCCCTAACAATATGCTCTCATGGAAAAGGACCACATCCTAAATTTAGAGTGTCAGTATCCTCACACTCTATAGCACATTTCCTGGCACCAAACTAGGTCCTCAACTAGAATCTTTGATGGGTTGAAAGTATGGGCTTTGTGATAGTTCTTCTGTGTGCATCTTTGAAAATAAAGCAGCCCTCAGATGGGAGTTCACTTAGAGGGCATTCCAGTGAGTACCAGCAACAGAGTTTACCACTGTTATATACACCACATTTAAAATGGTGAGCACGGCAGTGAGAATTTGAAAAGGCAGCTCAGGGGAGCAGGAGCTGGGGTGGGGGCGCAGTATTCTTTTGTGCTTTCTTCCCATTGGGCATATTGGAAGGGAACCTCATAAGACAAGGACAGGGTGTGTTGAAAATAGACTTGTGCACCCTGTGTTAAGGGCCATTCAGCAAGACTTGAGGTGGGTGGCTGTCTGTGGCAGAAAATGAAGCACAAGAACATTCCTTTTTGTCTGCCATCCCGGCCTGGGAGGAAGACCTTCGCTCTACATTGTGTCACCTGTGAAGAGAAGCCAAGCGAGCAGGGCCTTCAGAAATCCCCCAGAGCACGGGAGCTGGCTTTTAACTCCTTGGTCACTGTGGCCGTTTCTACTAGAGAAGTGTTTGTCAAAGCTCAGGAGGGCCGTAAAGTCAACTTAGCAGTTCTGAAACAAAAGACAAGATTAGAAGAAAGGACGTAATTGGAGGAAAGGTTATTGTCTATGAAACCTGTGTCAGAAGTGGGTGGATGTGCGCACACTCAAATTATGGTCAGTGGGAAGTGTATGATTTCTTACTCTGGATAATGGAAATACTCTACATAAGAGTATAGGTATTTGAAAGTAGGGATTAAAATATTTTTATAGCTTTTTACATCCTTATAGCAAAATCTCGCCCAGAGTAGTTGATTGACAAATGTGTGAGTGAGTAGATGAATGGGAAGTGAATTTTGTGCGCATGTCCATGGGCACATGAGGTCTGGATATGACACGTATGCACACTGCAGCCACAAGTGTGACCCAGGTATGTTTCATGCACATACGGGTACTTGTATTTCTTATTTTCAAAAATGCTTTTTAAAGCAGCACATATAAATCTCACCCGCCTCAACTAAGTGCTCCCTAAATGTCCATTAACTTTAAGGGATGGCAGTCGCTTTAAAAGCAGTCTACACAGGAGGGAGTGTTTTGAAAAATTCAGGGTATTGCTAAATAAGCATAGCAGCCTTCTACCACCAGGCCCTTAAAAAAGGGCAAATAACAATCTCTGCTGTTAACAAATGAGACCAGGGCTGGAAACATAGTCCCCAGTGGACTTTGAGGCTGTACAGTCAGGCATATAGCTACAGGCTCAGCAAAACAGAAAACACCACCATTTGGAAAGATTTAAGGGAGCAGCAGCCCCACTGAAGAAAACAAGGCCTGCTGAGCTCCAAGAGGATGCCAGGAAAAGTAGGTCGCTGGGGGAAGCAAGTTGGGTAAAGTAATGGGCTCATCTAAGAGCCTGCACAGTGTCATCTTTCTTAGTCTTTCCAAACTGCTGTGTCATTCCTGGAATTAACTTATTCCGTGTCCTTCCAAAACAAAGCTGGGGCTTTAGCCGAGGGACACTGTTCTCCAGAGAACTCGGGGAACCACCTGCATGTCAGCCTTCATACCAGTTGTGCTTCCCAGAGCCAAGGCCAAGGTTGCCCACCCCCAGGCTCCAACAGAGCCACCATTACCTCAGAAAAGCAGATGCGTCCACACAGCCACCTTGAGTGGAGGCGAACAGGTGGTAGTTTGCTCTTTCATAGAGTTTGCTCACACTTATCTGCACAGTTCTCCACATTTACCGCACACCTGAAGAAAACAAGGTTTTACATGGGGAGAATGAGAGGGAAACTTTCTGATGCTATTCTGTGGTATGTTAAAGCTCACCACTTTTACATTTGGAAAATTTGTAACAAAATGGGTTTCCATTAAAGCTCAAAACATAATTTCTTCTTAGAGGGAAATAAATACTATCAATACTGATTAATGATACTGAATAATGATTGAGGCCTTTGGATATTTTAAAATTCTGGCCAGAAAATCTGCCTCAATAGATTGTCTTTTATTTGGAAAAAGAAAAACAGATTGAATAGAAGCAGAATCTCTTTCCAAAAAGACTGAAGAATTCAGACACATGGTATTGCAAACTAGATGTCGCTGCCCTCCTATGCGCCCTCCACTTCCCATCTGAGGAGGACAGAGTAAAGGACAGCAGAAGGCAGGACAGGGATAGGCTGTGCTGGCACCAAGCTCAGGGCCATCATGGCAGCACTGGTCTGTTTACTCTTTGATTTAACACATTATTTGCTCTCATGAAAAATCCAAGATACCTCTGACTTAGACAATGATTCCTTGGCTAATAGTATTAAGAAGGGGTAATGTGATTCTTTTTTTTCATTTGCCCAGAAAAGGATATTTTAACCTATGCAAACCATCAAGGCAACGTAGAACCCTTGTGCTGTGAGCAGAAATTCCTGGTGTGTGCACTTAAGGAGGCCATCATCTCCCAAGCACATCACTTTGCCTGTGGGGGAACCAGGGGCCCTATTGCTAGCATGGCATTCCCCCGAGAGCTAATGCTTGAGGTACAACAACATGTATGTCTTCAGCTAATTCTTAGTCCCTCTTCTCTACTTTTAATTTCCCTACTATGATATTCATTTCCTCTTCCTATGAAAGAGCCATCTCAAAAGAACCTTCCTTTAGAGCAGTGGCTCTTAACCAGGGCGATGTCGGCAACATTTGGACACATTTTCGGTTGTCACAAGGAGAGCTGGGTGCTACTGGCACCTAGCGGGTAGAGGCCAGGGATGCTGCTAAACGTCCTGCGGTACACAGGGCCCTACGGCAAGGAAAGATCAGGCCCAGCACTGGGCTGGTGCTGGGGTTCAGAAACCTGCCCCAGAGCATTCTTCCTGGACTTGGCTTTGATTCCTTCTGCCTCTCACCCAGCCTGTGGGCAGATCTCAGGGTTTTACCTTGCAGCACCTCTCGCCTCCAGCTCTTTGCTCTGCCTGGTGCTATGCAGCTGGTCCTGCAGCGCCCCCCACGGGACAGCTGTAGATACCTCCCAGCTGCCACCCTGCCCAGCGCATCCACACACTGCCAGGCCTCTCTCAGGCTCTCTCACACTCTGGCCTCAGCCCTAACTGCACATTAGAATCAACTGGAGAATCTAAAACTACATGTCCAGCACCCGGCCGGGAGTAATCTCTGTGGCCTGCACCTGGCCTTCATTCGTTTTAAAGCTCTCCAGGTGGTTCCAAGGTATAGTCAGGGTGGAGAACCATCGCTCCAGGGCTCCCTGAGACCTGCTGATAGAAGTGCAAATACTCACCTGGAGACCATAGCCCTCCTCTCCTGCCTTTCCCACCTCTCTCTTTCTGTTCCACAGCTTTAGCCAAACTGGACCCCACTGTTGACGTCCCGCTTGTGGCCCTGCATCTGTACGGCTCTGTGACGATAGGTCTTCTCTACCCCGCCTACCCAAATCTCCCTCGTGGAAACACTGCACAGCCTGCAGTGCCCTTCTCGGCCACCACCTCCCTCATGGTGCTTTTCCTGAGTTCCCACCCATGATACCCTGTGTCCCTTCTGGAAGCCTGTAGCCTAAACCCCTCTCTTCTGGATTTTAGCATATTGGACCCTGCATATGGTGATTAGTAAGCTATGAATCTTTTACTCGCCATTTTCCCTCTATCTTCCCACTACTAATCTAACTTTAAACTTAGTGAAAGGTCAGACTTGACCTGCTCACAGGCCTAGCCTTCCCAGCACCCAGCAGAGGCTTCACATGTCGCCATGGGCCAGATGAGCAGCCTGGGAAATGAAGGGACTCTACCCACCTCTCAGTGTCCCAGGCCCCAGAAACACTCTGTAAGCCCTGCCATCACCTGCCCCAGTGCCATGTGTCTGTGACTTGGCCATCAGTATTACAAGGCTTTCCATACTTCCCTGAAAATGCCAAGCACACGTTCCATGTTTCCCATTTGGCTAGGAAAGAGAAAACTGTATTAACTCAGCAAACGGACTTGGCTCCTGGGTGCCAGGACCACTGGAGCCCTGGCCTCTCTGCTGCAGTGTTGGGAACTGGAAGGGTGAGGCATGCTGATGCCTCCCAGGTGCCCCAGGGCTTGAAGATGCCATTGTCTGGTGGCGTGATGACATGACTACTTTGGAAGGATTTTATTTTTTTTTTAATTCTCATCATCTCACACTTTAGCAGGATGATTGTAAATGACTCATAATAAAATATACTTGCAGCATCAGAGGTGAGTAAAGCAGACACCAACATGCTGATTGCCCCTAAAAAGGCATTCTGAAATCTTCATATTAGACAGACTAAACAGCTGTGAGCCGACGGGACAGAGTTCTAGGGCGCTCCCACGGGTGTTGGCCCCGGCTACTCTGTAAGCTGGAAATCAGCCAACCCTGTGCTGTTCTCTTCTGCAAAGTCGGGGGGAGGGACCAACATCTGCCAGCATCTCCCAGAGCTCCTACAGTGAGACGGTACTCCCAGAGCTTTGCCTGTGAAACACATTGATAGAAGGCCCTGTGCTCCCTGGCCTTCTCATGGGCCCTCCCCATGAGACACAGGAGAGAAGGCCAAGTGCCCATGATCCAGCCCATACAAGAGGCAGAGAGACAAAAAGAAAACCAAAAAACTCAGCAAGACAGTTCCTCCTAGGAATATCTCCTCTCAGGATTCATTTGCTGTTGCTTTCAGGCTTGCCTTTCGCCCCGTGCTACAGCAGAGCCAGAACTTGCCAGAAGTGGCCAGAACCCAGTTGTCATTCTGGTTGTTGGGAGTCTACACTTCATTACATTTTTTCAGTCAGCTCCCCAAGAGTAGCACTTGGGAGCACTCAGTGGCTTCCTGAGCGTATAGCCAGATCTTTGCCTGATCTTTTATTAAAAGGAATCTGGAGCATATGTGGATGAAAAGGGAGGAAAAAAGTAAGGGTGGAAAATTGAGCCAAAGAGACTGATTAATAAGTAAGTTATTAAGCCTCTTTGAGCTTCAGCTTCGTAGTCAATTACGTGGGAATTCACTACATATAGATTTCTCTCTCTTTTTTTAAGCATTTTATTTTATTATTAGTTTCAGGTATACAAAACATTCATTTGACATTTATATAGTTTATGAAACAATTCCCCCGATTACTCTATCACCCATGGCACATAGATTTCTTGAGCTCCTGTTGTTGGCCTGCCACCAGGTAAGGAATTGGAGACTCAGATGAGTGAAATGAGAATGAGCCCTTGGGTCTGTTGAAAGGGCAGGTGGACATGTCCCCATCTCTGACGGTCACTGTGATAACTGCCATGCACAGGCCACTACCCCCTGCCCTCTCCAATCCCACAGGGTAGATGGGAGGATCAGATGAGAAAAGGTTCTAGAATGCCAGAGCTCCACACAGATGGAGACTGTCATTGTCATCATGTAGGTCAGCCTGGAAATAAGACTAGAAAAGATACTGGGGGCTGATCTAATTTCTGAGCTGGCAAATACTAATGTGACTTGATAGTTACTATTTAAATCCCAAGTGTCTGAGGGCTTTGAAGTATATTTTAGTCCTATGTTGAATTAGTACAACCCAAGAAATTATTTCAGGTGCGTGTTTTAAATCTGGCTTTCATCTTGCCCTGTAGGTGGCTGAGTTTGTACAGTCTCTGCTGGGCTGTGAAGAGCATGCCAAGTGCTTCAAGACGGAGGTAAGAAATATATATATGTTTCTATACTTGTAGATCCAGAAAGGCTTTGTTTTCATTTACTTAAGTGTAAGTGTAAAGGCTTTGTTTCCATTTACTTAAGTTTGGGGAGGCAAGAGAAAAGGGTCCAAGCAGGAAAGAGCCCAGCAATACAGGGAGCACAGCGGGGCCAGCCTCTGCTGGGGCTCACTTCTGTTTTCTCTGCTCTGGCGCAGAGTGCTGTAGTGCTTGGCTCATAGAACATGCTCAAGAAATAGACTATTCGAATATATTAATTAATACTCATAGATATCATGAAGCCTCTGCACTGCAACCTCAGGCTACATTGGGGGCAGTGAGGAACCCCATCGTGGGCCAGCCTCCAGGAGGGGAAGGGAGTTGCCTCTTCCAGTGAAAATGGGACCATTCTGTGTACCCCACTCTACAGTGGTTTCAGAAGGAGTGCTGAGTGGCCACACAGTCCTTCTGCAGGGTTTCTGCTTCCTGCTTCCTCTCAGTTAGAGATATACCTGACTGCTTCACATTTGTCCTAGAATTAGCATCCATAGCTCTAGGGGCCCCAGAAGAGACTAGACCAGCTACAGAATAATGCAGACAAGGATAGTTACTGTTTACCTGGGGCTTGCCACATGCCAAGCCCCTTTACAGTCAGCCTTGGGCCCTCACAACTCTACAGGGCAGTTTACCAATGAAGAAGCTAAGGCCTCAGGAGGAAAGGGCAGTTGGATTCCGGCCCGCAGCCATCTGATTCCAGAGCTTCCATCATTGCTCTAGAACTCTCCAAGAAAACTACTCCAGGATGCAGTACATACTCTCCCTCTCTAGAGGTCAGGGCACACGTGGTTCAGGGGAAGTACTCTTTGAGTTTGGGGTCTTGGACCCCTCAGAGTCAGGCCAGCCCTGTATTTCCAGGAAACTCAGCATCAGGGTAACTATGGTGGCAGTCTGGGTAGCTGCCAGTGGAAATCTAGGGTTCTGCTGATTCTGCCTGAGCCCAGCACAGCCTAGGCATAGTTGGCCCAGCCTCACACAGACAGACCATTCTCTGCATGTAACACCCAAGACCCACCTCATCCACATGTTTCTTTGCAGATCAGGTTGCTCAAGCTTGGCACTTATGACCAGCAATGTCACCACGGGCACATCGCTTAACCTCTCTTATCCCTCCTCTATAAACACAGAGTTCTGTGAGCGGACCTTAATGATTAGGATTAGTGTGTTTGCAGTACCTAGACCGACTCTTGTCCCAGAGAAGGGGCTTAATAAATGGCAGCAATATAGAGCAGAGGTTCTCCTCTGGAGACCAACAAGCCCTCCATGCAATCCCAGGATCGTCTCTTAAAAGCTGTATGACCTTGGGCAAGTCGTTAGGCTTATAACTGTAGTTTCCTCATATACTTTATGGGATCGTTGGGAAGATGAAACACATAGAAGAGGTTAGAGAATGGCTTCAAAAACATTAACTGGTATCATCGTCACCATCACCACCATCACTACCTTATCCTTTGGACGTTTGGCTCTTTGGCCAGTGGGTCTTGCCTGGAAATGCTGGAGCTGAACCCAGGTTAGGGTATGGATATAGGGAGCTTCTCTCCTCTGTTATGGGAAATAGGCTTTTTACCCCATGGGAATGGTATTCCATTCTCTAAATGGATAATCCTTCATCAGGCAATATATCATAAATACACAGGAAGCTTTTTAACACTTTCTAAAAACTTTAACTCCCCCACCCAATGTCCCCCCAGTGATCCCTCCTTCCTCAGCGAGACATTAATACTGAGGTTTGCATCAGTAATTAAAAAGGGTTAGAACCACAGAGCTAGGTTCATGGAAGGCTATTACCATAGAAAACCCTTTCATTCTATCCTTTTGGGTCTGGAACCAGGACTCATTCTGAGCCAGTCTGTGTAAATACGTGAGGTGTGGGTATAGGACACACCCACAGTCCCCGGGGTTCAACCTCTGAGACACAGTGGCGTCTCCAGGAGCTGTGGAGAAACGACCTGCACTGTGGCCACTCACCATCATGTGAATCTCAGGAAAGTTGTTACATCTCAGACCGCAGTATGTTTTAAAAGTTAATAAATAAAGTTTTTATTTTACATTTCTGTTTATAATGGCATTTATCATGGATAAAAAAAGAGAGAGAGAGAATACAGGAAAGTTAAAAGGAAAAAATAAAAACAAAACCACTATGCCACCAGCCACAGATAACTTCCTTTAACATTTGGTACAAAGATTTCAAATAGTTTAGCTATGTCTATGTCTGTGTATATGTGCAGTCATGCATATTTAATTTTGCACACTAAAACCAAGATCTTTCTATATTATATCATGTTTTGTTGCTTAACGCTTCATGAAAAAATTCCCAAATCATTGTTTCATTGAGAGACATGAATTTGGGTACCTGCCGAGCACCCCATCCGAGGTGAGACCATAGTTTATTTACTTCTTCTATTTTGGGAATGCTAGGTTGTTTTCGGTATTTCGCCATTATAAATAACACTAGAGTGCACTCACTGCACATTGTCCTCTTGGGAAAAATTCCTGGAGATTTACTTGGTGGATGAAAGTAGGTTATTTTTAAGGCTCTTGATACAAATTCAGGCCAGGATACTTAAAACATAACAATAGAAATTTAGCCTGGGGGCAGTTAGTGTATATTGAATTCATATTTAACAGAGTGAACACCTTTTTAATTTAACTTAGCTTCGGGGTCCTGGGGGAAAGTGGAGTTGAACAATGGTTGGGACTAAGGCTTGGGAGGGATGCCATCATTCTCTGCTGTCACCGAGCTCTGCAGGGAGCCCATCTCAGGTTCAGTGTCACAGAGAGTAAACAGGCTTTAATAGCTTTTACTTTTATTTGTGTTTATTTACATGCAGCAGATTGATGGCAAAGCCTTCCTGCTTCTGACACAGACGGACATCGTCAAGGTGATGAAGATCAAACTGGGCCCAGCACTGAAGATATATAATTCTATCCTCATGTTCAGGAATTCCCAGGACTTCACTGAAGAAGATCTTGTCTCAGGCCAAGAAGCCAGGGGCTAAACACACCACCTGAGCTGCTGCCACACTGGGACCTTGTTCTTTTAGCAATAAAGTTGGCCCACATTTGATTTTAATGTCCCCAGGGTCATATCCCTATTTAATCTAGACTTCTTATATGGTTGTGATTTATACGTTTAGAGAATTTTGATGACTGGTCCAGTGCCAACGACGCAGAGGCCCAGGCACATGTATAGTCTGTGAATATTTTTATCTTCAGTGGGGTCCTTTCAGCTCTGATGTGTTGCCACAAACAGACCAAAGAAGCCCACACATACACCTCTGTTCTTCCTCTCACCATAAAAGAAGCCATTTCTCATTTTGAAAGCATAAAACTCTCAAGTGGTAAAATATTAGAAAAACAGAATCCATAAATACAGTGTTAACATTTTTACCAGAACATCTGAGCTCAGCTCAGATTTGCCGTCAGGGTGCAGTGCGTCTAAGAGACAGAGGCCCGATACTTTAAAAAGATTTCATGTGAGATTTTTGTGTACTTTACTCAGGAAAGTACGAATCTTTAAAAAATAATAATAATAAGCACATGTTTTTATGATTCATTAATTCTCCTTTTGGTTCCATTAACCATTTCTTGGTTGTGCTCCCAAGGCTCCCTGGAGTGTGCTCAGGAGTAGCACGAGTACAGTCAGCCTGGGCATTTCGCAGAGGCTGGTAGGACCCTCCCGAGGCCCCTCCACCAGCAGCGCCCTAAGGCTAGGCTGTCTGTGGACCCCAGGGAGACCTCCTCCTGATTCTGGCATTGGCTAGTGGGCCAGACGCCCCCCTGCAGTATCCTCTTTGAGGATGCCTCAGGAGAACTGATTTGTCCTGTGGCCCGTCTGAGTGTGTGGTAGGGGCTCTGGCACATGTGGGCCTGGGATATATCTTTACTGAGACACGCCATTAAAAGGGAAGATCTCTAGGGAGTTGGGTATCTGTTACTTGTTTGAACAATTCTGATTTTTTATCAGACCTTGTTTGTCTTGTATAAGTGACCATATCTGAGATTTACGTTTATGGAGTCAGTCCCACAGTTTTAAAGATAAGCACCTGGGGGCTCTGGCACATGTGGGCCTGGGATATATCTTTACTGAGACACGCCATTAAAAGGGAAGATCTCTAGGGAGTTGGGTATCTGTTACTTGTTTGAACAATTCTGATTTTTTATCAGACCTTGTTTGTCTTGTATAAGTGACCATATCTGAGATTTACGTTTATGGAGTCAGTCCCACAGTTTTAAAGATAAGCACCTGTTCTCTGACACACACACACACACACACACACACACACACACACACACACACACACACACACAGAGATATATATACGTACATCTATGCA